TAAAACAAGTAAATTTCAGATATACGTTATTCCAACAAAAAATTTCGCTTGAAGATGGAACGGAGCCCATTTTAATTTAAACTCAATTTAATTTAAAGGATTATATTGAAGTTTTCGGCTCTTGTTTTGAAACATGAGACCTCTTATGTAAACGATTTGGAATCATATTTTTAAATAAATAATTATATATATATATATATATATATATATATAAAAAACACACACACAAAAAATATAAATATATATATATATATATATATATATATATATATAAAAAGGCTTAAACACTAATATTCCATGGTCATAATTTATTCCATTGGAATCGTAAATACGATCCAAATCATCAGACCTACAAATTCAAAATGAAAACAGAAAAAAAAACAACTCCGAAAATCAAAACAGAATTTAGAGAAAGTGTAAGTATGAGGAGGAGGACATGAAACCTAACAGAGAGAATTTTTTGGAGATGTGGGTGGGGTGGATTTAAAAAAAGGAGAGAAAAGAAAGTTACGGATGTCTAATACATAAAGATAAACATTTCGTGGTGACATATACACACCACAGACAATTCGGATAGGAAGGAAAAAAAAAAAAAAAAAAAAAAAGTGGGGGAGAGAGATGGCCACTAATATTATCAATATATATATATATATGTACAGATATATTCATTCTCACAGTCATCTTGCTTTTAATGAATTTGAGACCCACATATACTTCTATGTGTTGTTTCCCTTCAGTATGTGAACAATCATGGTGCTCCAGTTTTCTGTTCCTTTGTAGCTCTGAGTAAATTTTGTCGTTTGATTTCTCCTAATTCCGTTTCTGCCAATCATTTACACAAGCTCATTAAGTAGGTTATGTGCTGCTTTCCTTTGTACTTCTTGCCTTCAATACGTCTTGTGAGTATCAAATTTTTTAAGCCCTCTTTTCTCATTATGTGCTCCAAAAATTTCAACTCCCTCTTTTTGATGCTAAATGTAAGTTCTCTTTTTGTTTCCATTTTCTCTAAAACTTCATTGTTGCTCACATGTTTAGTCCATGGTATTCCTAGCATCCTTCTTGTTTCTAATGAAATTTTCCTATTTCTCATTACTTTGCTTGCATTTGCAGTCCTCTATTGACCTCTATAAATTTTTTTTCTTGGTTGTGAGGGGGTCATTTTCATTCAAATATTTTAGTGAAATTTTGAAAACAGTATTCATTAACAAAAGAATTAAGATGTAACTTTTTTTTTTTTTTTTTTTTAATCATTACACCCCAAGCAAGGCAAGAAAGCCACTAAGACTAAACTAATTCTGAAAGTAGATACAGTGGCGGACTAAGCCAATTCTGGAAGTAGATATGAAGACCTTCTTTATTTAGAGCATTATAGTAACACTATCCTTTTTTCTACTTTTCATCAAAAATATTAAGATTTGAATCAGAATATTCTTGTTTTTCATATATATATATATAGATATATTTTAGCTCTGTTCTTTAACATTGAGCATTGTCTTACTGCCAATAAACTCTCTTGTGTAATGTCCTGTATATATATATATATATATATATATATATATATATTATTCTTATATAGAGCTAAAAGGACAGGAAATAGTGGAGAGTCATTCTTACTAATGTTCTGAAGAATCTCGATTATAAAAAAGATTTACATTAACATTATGAAACTTTCAGTTGATTAGGATAATTAAAGTGAACATTTTTGTTGATTAATAATAATTACTGTCCTAGATATCCACTGAGCACTCTTTTTGACAAATTCTGTTCTGGACATCAATTAAATTATATAATTTTATGTATATCAATATAGGTGCTATCATTATCTTACTCTGCTTGTTATGCTCTGCCTGTACCTCATAAATAATGGCCTATTGTGTGAAAAGACAGAAAAGACATATCAGAGACACTACTTGGTTTCAGTGCAAAAAAGAAAATGGAAGATAGAACTGTTTTACATCTGTTTCAGTGAAATGGAAAAGTTGTCAATTTCAAATCTTTATTTGTACCCCCATACTTAAAATAACAGCCAGCATTCAAATTTATGATTGTTATTGCAATATTTTGTTAAATTTGTTTAGCTCAAATATTTTATGATGCAACAGAAATTTTTGCAGGTACTTTTTTCATGGTATGAGCTTGTTCAATCATTAACTTAAGAATTAAGATTTATCAGAAAATGCAAATAGGAAAACTGAAATTTCCACACGTATTTCTAATTTATATAATGTAATATACTCATCTGTCTAATGGCAGCAATAGATGCCTGTTTTCCACATTGGCCAGTGGTTTGGATTCAAGCCAATGTAAAAGTCAGTTTGTTGTATGCCGATTCTTCAAAGAAAGTTTTTATAACTCAAAAAATTGTTGATCTTTCTATTCTATCTCACTCTCTTTAAATTCTCCTCATGCCATACTTAGTTTAGAAAATATTTAAATTTTTTTATTTTCATTTCAATTTCTTTGTCAACTAATTGTATGTGAGCATCCAAATTGGTCTGCTTTTATTGCCAGACCTGGTAAAAATGAAAATTTTATTGTCCTACTATTTTTTACACTCTTCAGTTAGTTTTAGTTTTCAATTGTTTATAGCAAATAGAAGTCACTCAGTTGTATTTATTGGTATGCTGAAAAGTACTAATAATTAGTTCAACTTAATTCATTTGTTTGCTTTAAAGACGCACTAAACTCAAGAATGTAATTTTCTTTTGCTTTCATTTGATTGGCTTATAAATATGTTGAGCATTCCTATTTGCTTGGTCTCTGTCTGCATATAGATTTGTATAAATTGGTTGTATACAATGTTCTTGTATGTATGTCGGTGTGTATATATATGTATATACATATATAAACAAAATAAGTTTCACTTGAGAAACTACTTTCCACAAAATACTGCTTTGTGAAATGGACTCCCAAGAGGATGCTTCTCTGATCACTACAATCTTGGCCTGTTCAACTTTAGGGTCAACTGTTATCTTTTCCCACGTATCCCCATAAACTGTGCCTCTTACTCTTGTAACCTTTGATCTCAAGTGGCTCTTGGGAATTTGTAAAGGGTAATCATTGTAAAAAGAAATAAAAATATATATTGTGTGTATTTAGGCAGCATCTTTTCATTCATACATGTTTTATTAAATAATATAGACAAGTGTTGTCTATTTATTTTATGTAAATTTTTTTCATAACATCTGATAAGTTTAATAACATTATCATTGAACGAAGAAAGAAATTTGAAACCCAACCTAAACAAAATCAATTATGGAATCTCTACAAATATCCTTAAATGTCTATAATTGGTAACAGAAGCCATTGGTTTATACCAACGGCTTCCCATACTTCATACTTCTTCAATTCACTCTCGTGTGGTCATGTGTGACGTCATGAGATGCAGTGCGATTTTCGCTTCTAGCATTTTATATGCACATGCTTATCGTTGCTTAGAAATCATCTGTGTAAACAATGACAGACTATCATCACTGTCTTGTCCGTATATTGCTTAATATGTTGTAATTGACATCTTTGATAATGGCTTATGTAAGCCGAAAGCTTAGATTGTATTAAAAAAAATATGGATCAATATTGTGAATTTCTTTCTTCATTCAACAATAATGTTATTAAACTTATCAGATGTTATGAAAAAAAGTTACATAAAATAAATAGACAACTCTTGTCTATATTATTTAATGAAACTTATATATATTGTGTCAAAGACTCTCATGCACAATTGTGAAAAAGGCACTGAATCGTACATGTATTGGCTGAGAGAAAAGAAAAAGTGAAAAACAAGCAGAAGTGTGATGCCAGTCTTGAGACCGGTTCCATCTGTACTTCTGTCGGTAGTATTTCCATCTAGGCTTTTAACCCACATTAATATAAATATGTGCAATCAGGCAAATGGGGAAGAAGCATCAGTGTTATTGATGTTCCCTGTGAGTTTTTTTCTTTTCTTTAATCATTTCACCCCAAGCAAGGCAACAAAGCCACTAAGACACAGGGGTTACTGAGTTGAAAAAATATAAGAAAAACATTAAGGAGTTGAATAATAAAAGCAGAATTAAGAAGACAGAAGATAGCAATTGATATTGCATTTAAATTTTTGAAGATCAAACTTGACTTGAAACGCAAGAAACCCAGAGAGTTACATACAAAAAGCACAAGAAAAAAAACTGTTAGCATAGAACTTACTGTTACCATTTCAAATGTAAAATAATCAAACCTTGCTGCCAATCTAGTACTTTGCTTAAATTAGTAGTCTAGGTACCAGAGAGGAAAGTTCATCAGAAGAATTAATGTGAGAGTAATTATAGAAAATTATTCCATTTCCTTTTGGTGAAAGTGTCACCTGTCTAACTGTTTTGTCTTATTTGCATTACCACCCCTCTGTTGGTGAAAATGTTGCTTACACTTTTATTGTCAAGTATTCACTACAAGTGTACAGGTGTATCCAGAAAGAAAAAATTCAGTAATTGTTTTTAGCATGGTCATCTTTCAGATCATTCCTGATCACGACTCTCTACAGCTTCTGTTTTTCAATATTTGTAAACTTAGCATTGTCCTTGAGGAAAAATAATGGAGGAGTATCTTGTCTTTGCCATAGTTTTGAATTTCACTGTTGTCCTCCTACTTCTAGACAGGATCCAGCAGCAAGGCCTCTAATCAGGAGGTTTTGAGGAACGTAGAACCACCTCTTAATTGCTGTTGTTCCCAGGTCCACCCTGGCCCACCCTGGCCCAAGGTGGTAGAACATGTTAGGTTCCCAGCTATGGGCAAATAGTTAACCCCAAACTGGGGTTAAAACACTATGAAAGTGTAAAAATAGATTTTTATAGTAAAAATACCAGCAATAAATTTTTGAAAAAAAAAAATATTGCCAGCAATAGATTTGACTTAAGACAAAAACCTTCTTTATAAAAACCAAGCCTAGTATTCCCTATTATGTTACCCATAGTGGGGGAGAGGATTCATCCCAAAGAATTTTGCTAGAATTTGAATTCACCCTTGCTTATGACCATATCGCATTGAAACACTGGTTCCGATGTGATCACTGAAGTTAAGCAATTTTGACCCTGGTCAGTACCTAGAAGGGTGACTACTTGATAATACCAGCTGCTGGGATCTTGGATGTGCAGGTGGTGTAATAGATAATGGCTCAGAATTGGAAAACAGAGACAAATTTCAATTCCAGTCAGGTTCTTTATATTCGCTTACGTGCAAGTACCCTTGCAAAAGGTATGAATCCACTTCTTACCAACCAGCCAGCTATGGGTCAATTAAGAGAACTTCTATCAGTAAATCATTCTTACAATCTAAAAATATTTTATGGCTTTAAATAACCTACTAAAAGTTGATAAACTATAAAAAATCAAGTGAATCCATCCTCTTGATTCTGTTTTTGATTCCAACAGCTGTTATGCTAACTCCAGATCTAGTAAGGCATTTACAGGTAAGGAAATTGAAAACGAGCTTATAATAACAATGAATTTCATATAATAAACATATCATTAGCAATGTTCAAATGTTAATTTCTGTTTGCATTTTGCACCTAATTAAAATTTCAGGTAACATATGCACACCAGGATAAAGTTTTGTGACTGTCTATTTCTACATTGAAAAATATTATCTCTCAATATTGGTGACTGTCTATTTCTACATTGAAAAATATTATCTCTCAATATTGGTGACTGTCTATTTCTACATTGAAAAATATTCTCTCTCAATATTGGTGACTGTCTATTTCTACATTGAAAAATATTATCTCTCAATATTGGTGACTGTCTTTTTCTACATTGAAAAATATTCTCTCTCAATATTGGTGACTGTCTTTTTCTACATTGAAAAATATTCTCTCTCAATATTGGTGTATAAATCACAGAAAATAAATGGACAATACAAACAACTTTCTAGAAGTTTTGAGACTTTTTAGGAGAGGCAGTTTTCTCATAGATTTTTGCAATTTTAGTATATCATTACAATACAATAATAAGTGAACCTGCCAACTTTTATTATTCCGAATTGAAAGAGATGGCTGTAACAGTTCTTTGAACATCCCCCCCTACTAAACACTGTTTGTCACAGCTGACTAGTTTGCAGAATGCAGTCAAGATGTGAGGTCAGTTTTTGTGTTAGACTGGGCAAAAATGCTACAGAAAGTTATGCTCCAGACTGCTTATGGATTAATTTGTTTCGCAATTTCCTGGATAAAAACAGTAGTGTGTCCATAAAAACAATAAGCATACAGTTTGGACTTGGTATGGCAACTGTACACAGAATTATTCATGAAGATCTGAACATGTGCAAAATTTGTGTAAAGTTTGTTTTTTGTTTTTTTTTTCTCCATGTTGCTCAGTGATGAACAGAAGGAAAGATGTATTGGTGATAGCAGGAAGATGGTTGATAGGCATCAAAAGTCTCCCTACAATCCAGACTTTGCTCTCTATGAATTTTGGTTGTGCTCCAAGCTGATGGAGAAACTCGAGGAGATTTAAAAGATAAAGGAGGCTGTGACACAGGTCCTGGACACCTTGACTTTGGATGACTTTCATGAGGCCTTTACACGGTGGCTGGAGAGCTACAACAAATGCACTGAAGTCAGAAGATCCGACCTTGAAGGGTTTTGTAGTTCTTCAAAATTAATGTCTTTGCTGGAAAAGTCTCAAAACTTCTGGAATGCACTTCGTATGGGGAAAAGATAACGGACTGAGGAAGAAAACTTAACAAATTTATTGTGGATTGGATAGTAACATGTCTCTCTTTGTCGGATTGAGAAGATTTATTTAGCTTCTCATTGGTTAAAAAAGATGATCCTACTTTTGCTCATATGTTTAAAGATAATGTTTGTATGTGTGTGAAAATGCTATGTATGAATATGAATAGATCATTCAAGTCATCTGAAAATCATGTAAGTGTGAAACTTTGGTTACAACTAGGGCCATCCTTTCATAGGAATTACCGTCATCAAGCATTTTTGCTCTAGGCATCGAACACTTTATTGAGTAGGTAGGTGTTGCCTTTAGATCTGTTTCTTATTGATGTCTTTATTCAACATCTTGTTTAAGGGTATTTAGGTCTTTTGGAAAGTTATTCGTTGGTTCCACCAATGGTTTTGGTTTTTCATTATATATAAACATGTTTATAATGTGGCTGAGTGGTTAGAACACTAGCATTCTAACCATGACTAGCCAAAATCTTTTCGGCTGAACAGTTGAACTCTCTGCCTTCAGGCAGAGAGGAACCCGGATAAGGCTCCACCGAAGGGTGGAGTCTTGTTCGGGGAGGTTGACTGATGCTGAACCCATTTATACAGGTTCAAAAGGGAATATTTTTGGCCGAGCCTACGGGCTCAGAGAACCCATATTAAACCCGGCCTTGTGCCACATGCAACCCTCGTGGGTGGGTGGCTAAATATACTAGCATTCTAACCATGAGACCTAGGTTTCAATTTTACCATAGTTGACTTCTCAATGAAGTGACTTTTTGATAATATTGACTTGGGGAGATAAGCCTCGCATGGGGAAGCCATTAGGAAATGCCTGAAAGCATACCACGGATTGACCAAGATTTTGTGAGTGAAATTTGGCAGATGAAACTATTCTGAACTTGTTGGTTGTTGTGCTAGTACAAAGTCACAAGTCATTGTGACGAAGAGTCTTAGTGTGATCTTGTTTAAAACTGTTGATCACACAGGAAAATGCACTCTTGTTTTCACACTGTATGGTCTTCTCAATATATTTGCAGTCTCACTGTCAGGTTGGCTTTCTTTTTTTTTCTTTTTTTTTTTAGCGTTTCACCCCAAGCAAAGCGGGAAGCCACTAGAGGTTACAGAAAATTTAGAGCAAGATCAGATAGGAGTGATAGAAGAAAGGATGAGGAGAAGGATAGTGGATAGATCAAGGCAACTGGAGATGTCGATTGACATTACATTTGAATAGCTGGAGATTATAGCTCTCAGGGAAACTAGAATAGGGAAGGGAGTTCCACAGGTGAGAGGTGTGAGACATGAAGCTATTGGAGTAGAAGAGACGGCTACATTTAGGAGTTTCGCCAGTGAAGGTGTGAGAGCAAGATGCCAGCCTCATAGGGCGCTTGAACTCATGAAGTCTGGGAACCAGCAAATGCAGCTCCTCGGAGCAATTGCCATGAAAGTATTTGTAAAACAGACAGAGAGAGGCGACGGTATGTCTGTGAGAAAGTGACTGTAGACGAGATGCCAGATTAGGGCCAATTATATTGCATATCCGCCTCTGGAGCCTATCAAGAACCCCGAGGCAAACAGAAGGGGCTCCAGACCATATATGGCAGCAATACTCCATGCAAGGGCGAATTAATCTCTGTTGCAAATGCCTGCACATTTTTGTTAAAGAAACAAAAATGTGCCTGAGCAGACGTCTGTAACAGGGGTGAGCAGGCGTCTGTAGCAGGGATTAGCTGGCTAACTTAACAGATGGACATACTCAGAAATGATTGGTCAGCCATTTACTTAATATCTGCATGAAATCTCTCTATTAATTATTAACAAACAAACAAAAAAAAGGCATGTTAGTTTCTTTCAAAGTACTCCCTTTGAGATCACACATAATTATAATATATTCCACTTCTTCTTCTTCAAAAAAAATTCTCTTTGGGATCACCATCAGCTGTTTAATTAATTTTCTTAATGTTGTCACTGGTGTTTCAATAGAAAGTTTTATCTTTAAGAAAAACCAGAAGTTTTAGACAACCAAATCTGGTGTGTGGAAGGGAGCTGATAGTCTGGGGTTAGGCCATATTTTGCCAAAGAACCCTGCATGTGATTTGAAAAATCTCCTTGTTTAGTTATTATGAATGCAATGATCATGCTATGTACACACCTAATGATGATGTCTTACTGCTGATTGAGTAACCCCATTAGTATCTATCCCCTTTGTAAGCAACCCCCCAGTGTCATCTACATGATTGGTTGCCAAATTATTTTAAAACCACACAGTTGGTTCTCAACATATTCAATGAATGAATGCATTCCAGAAACTCTTCACACACACACACACACATATATATATATATATATATATATATATATATATATATATATGGTTTTAAAAATGATGGAGCACATTTTTTAAAGGAACCTTTTTCATCCAACATTTCTTCAAAAAGATTCATTGGAACAACAATAAAAAACAACAAATCAGTGTAAATTAGCTCCTAGTGAGTGTAAAACAAAAATCTTTTTACTCATGACACACAGAATGAAGAAAATTCCCCTTCTGCCTGCACAAAGTCGGTCAATAAAACTTGATGTAAACCACTTTTAAAAAATGGCTCAGTTGGTTAAACATTTATAGTTTTTATATACTTTAAAAATCAGTTGAATCCGATATCTTGCTTTCAACCTTACAGTATCCTCAGGTTATCGCCTGAGGATATCGTAAGTTTGAAACCAAGGTAGCGGATTCAAATGACCTCCTGATTTTTAAAGTTAAAAGCATTACATATTATTTTTACTTTTTTTTTTTTTTTTTTTTCACATGTATATTGAGCACTTTTTAATACTACTGTTTCCTGGTCTGATTCAATTCTGACCATTAACCTTTTATATATATATTTTGTATGAATGATTCATGAATTTATAAATTATAATTTGCACCTTTTAATTGAAATTAAAATAACTGATCCAACGTGCAACTTTCGGATAATAAGTGTGACATTACTGTAATTATTGAACAATATAGTTCATGCCACATAGACGGAAAATCTACCAGTAAAAAAGAATTCTCTTTTCTACAAAAATGCACAACCTTAAAATTTAAATTCAAACTCAGCGTTGCGACCGCACGTTTCAAACAATAACACATTTCTCTTAGCATTTTTTCGGATTGCATCTCTATTTTCGTTGTCCTCTTATTACCGAGAAGTAAAAACAAGAACAAATCTATTTCCATACCTGATGATGTCTGTAGGAACAGATGAAAGCTTGTAAAAATTAAAAGACCTTATGCAACTGGAATTTATGAACAGGGATCATATCATTCATATACAGGTTCGGGGTTGATGTATCTTATTTATATTGTTTGCGAAGATGTATTCCACCATTTAAATCATTAACCTCTATATTTGTTTTTTTTTATGAATGATTCA